CCCCTACCCTTGCCCCTATATATAGTGTAAGGAGAGGAGGGGAGCCGAACCCTAAACCCTTTCCCAGGCTCCCCCCTCCTACCACCATATTCTCTCGGTACGGGTTGGTCAATCCCTAATGGAGTAACTCCACCACCATCTCCACCATGCCGTTGTGCTGATCGAGATCCCATCTACTTCTCTCCCTTATCTTGCTGCATAAGGAGGAGGAGACATCACTGAGTCGCATGTGTGCTAAAGTACTCGGAGGTGCCGTCCGTTCGGCACTAGATTAGTTTGGACCGTGATTGGATCACAAAGAGTACGGCTACATCAACCGAGTTATATCGCTTCCGCTTTCGGTCTACGAGTGTATATAGATACACTCCCTTATCGTTGCTATGCATCTCCTAGATTGGATCTTGGGTGTTTCGTAGGAATTTTTTTTATTTCCATGCTTTGTTTCCCATAAGTGGCATCATGAGCTAGGTCTATGCGTAGATGTATATGCATGAGCAGAACAAAAAGTTGTTGTGGGTGTTGATGTTCAGATTGCTTACTTCCCTTGTCTTATTTGGATTCAGCGGTATTGTGGGATGAAGCGGTTCGAACCAACCTTACATGTCCTCGCACATGAGACCTGTTCCACTGTTTGACCTGCAACTAGTATTGCATTAAAGTGGTCGGCGGGTGTCTGTCTCTCCTACTTTAGTTGAATCTGATTTGACAAAGGCGGTCCTTGTAGAAGGTTAAAAGGCAACTTGAATATTACTGTTGTGATTTTGCATAGATAAGAATGGTTCTTATAGTTTGCCCTAGCAGCCACGTAAAATTTGCAACAACAAAGTAGAGGACCACTACTAGAATCCAGTTATTTGCCGTCCGCGAGTACTTTGCTGTCCGCTGGCTGACGGCAAAGAGGCTCTTTCCCGTTTGCTTCCACAAAGCCGGCGGAAAGAAAGGGCTGATGGCAAAAATGCTATTTGCCGTCAGCTATTTCTTTGCCCAAAGAGCTGGAAGGCAGGCGACAAAGGGCCAGGTGGGCCCCACAGGGCATCGCGTGGCTAGGTCAGGTTCTTTGCCGTCCAGCGGACGGCAAAGAGGAGACGTAGGCCAGCCCTAAACGGCCGCCCTCTTTGCCTTCTGCTAGCAGACGACAAAGAAGGCCCACTTAACAGGCCAAGCCGTCTCCCCCCTCTCTCTTTCTCTGTCTCCCTCCCGCGCGCCCGCCTCTCTCCTTCCCTGCCGCTACCGTTGCCGCTATCGCCGCCGCCGGCCAGCCCCGCCCCTGGACCCAGCCCCT